TTGCTATATCCCAGTATATAGTCACCTTCTTTGTTAATTCAGAATGGTGTGTCATAAATCTTTTGTGTTATTGATTCCATTAGTGTTATTTTCATCCTATCACTCTCTTTTATTATTATTAGTATTTATATAGCGCCAACTATTTCCACAGAGCTTTACAATATTATTAAAGGTGGGAGGGATTTACAATAAATGAGACAATTACATGACACAGTAACAATACGTAGATGAGGTCCCTGTTCAAACGAGCTTACAGTCCTTCATCCTTACATCCCCTATTTTTATTCAGTTTTGGTGTGGTTTTTTTTTTGTTATCTTGATAAAAGTCCTGTGAATAGTGATGTCGCGAACCCGAAATTTTCGGTTCGCGAACGGCGAACGCGAACTTCCGCAAATGTTCGCGAACCGGCGAACCGCCCGAAACGCCATTGACTTCAATGGGAAGGCGAATTTTAAAACACACAGGGACTCTTTCTGGCCACAATAGGGATGGAAAAGTTGTTTCAAGGGGACTAACACCTGGACTGTGGCATGCCGGAGGGGGATCCATGGCAAAACTCCCATGGAAAATTACACAGTTGATACAGAGTCTGGTTTTAATCCATAAAGGGCAGAAATCACCTAACATTCCTAAATCACAATCAATATGGATTGACACCTGACATATGACATATTGACACCTTGACATATGGATTGACACCTGTCCTCAGAGCCCCTGATGCACACGGACACAGAGCAGAATAGAGACTGGTCCCCCTACATAGGGTCACTTGGCAGATATGGATTGACACCTGTCCTAAGGATCCCTGATACACACTGACACAGAGCAGAATAGGGACTGTTCCTCCTACATAGGGTCACTTGGCAGATATGGATTGACACCTGTCCTCAGAGACCATGATACACACTGACACAGAGCAGAATAGGGACTGTTCCCCCTACATGGTCACTTGGCAGATATGGATTGACACCTTGTTACAAACTGCTATTTGTAATGGGCCCTTTAAATGGCAAATTGCCCTGCTTCCCTGGGTTGTGGAGAAGCCTATTTGCCAGCCTCCTCCCGCATGACTATGGCCCCTGGGAGATTGTGAAAAATGTATGCACTTTTATTTGGTGTGTATGGCCCTTTAAGACTGTCGGTGGGCATATTGGGGCTTATGGACTCTTTATGTGACTGGTGCTGGCCCTTTAAACACCTTTTTGGGACATCAGGAAGATTGGGACACTGCCCCTTTAAGGCCGTGTCCCCAGACTTGTTGGGGACACGGCCCCTTTAAGACGGTGTCCCCTGTGTCCCCAGACCTGGTGCAAACCCTTTGTGCCTGCCTTGCTATTTCCCCACTTGGTTCAGTAAATGGGAAATTATTTCAGCTGCAGAGACTAAGTCCCATTCGGCGATGGGACTTAGTCTTTTTTTCAGCCTGAAATAGACCGACCTTACAGCCCAAATCTATGGAACTGTTTTGGGCAGGAAAATGTGCTTGCAGTCGGTCATAAAGGGACCTCCAGCTAACTTTTTAACCCCTGGATGGATTTGGCTGATTTTTGGTTATGTTTATGTTTTAAGTGTGCTGATTCCAAATATGTAATTATGAAGATGGATGTGTAGTTTTAAAGTTACAGGGTATGGCTAAAAACTGTATTTTTACTGCCTGTGTTTAATTATGTTAATCTCTTCCCAAACGTCATTTCGTTCAAAGTGAGAGAATGTTAAAAAAAAATATTTTTGTTCGGAGTGTGAGAAATGCTTTTCAGCCGCTTCTAATCTTAAGCATCATTTGAGGAGCCATACAGGAGAGAAAACTTATTTGTGGTGTGTTTAGTATTGTTCTGATCAGTTTAATACCTTCCGCGTCTCCTATCAGTGGACGTGTATATGGCGTTTCATTTTATGGAACCGTACACCCACCCGAAAGTAAGGTCACCTCGTCAACAGGCTACAACATTTGTCCCCTGGAAAACTATCCTGGACATTCTGGGTACAATTTGTATGGATATGGCAGTGGATTTCTGTAACAGGGATGGAAGAAGATGCTTGGTCGGTCCTTCATCTAAATTTGGGCACTGCGCTGTCAAGCTAATGTGCCACCAGATAGGAGTGGTGTGTTTAGTATTGTTCTGATCAGTTTAATACCTTCCGCGTCTCCTATCAGTGGTCGTGGACACGGCATTGATTTTTGTAACAGGGAGATGGAAGAAGAGGCTTGGTCGGTCCTCTTACTGCAAATTTGGGGCACTGGGCGGTCAAGCTAATGTGACACCAGATAGGAGTGGTGTGTTTAGTACTATTTTTATCAGTTTAATACCTTCCGCGTCTCCTATCAGTGGACGTGTACACGGCATTGATTTTTGTACAGGGAGATGGAAGAAGAGGCTTGGTCGGTCCTCTTACTGCAAATTTGGGGCACTGCGCGGTCAAGCTAATGTGACACACCTCAGATAGGAGTGGTGTGTTTAGTATTGTTCTGATCAGTTTAATACCTTCCGCGCCTCCTATCAGTGGTCGTGTACACGGCATTGATTTTTGTAACAGGGAGATGGAAGAAGAGGCTTGGTCGGTCCTCTTACTGCAAATTTGGGGCACTGCGCGGTCAAGCTAATGTGACACCAGATAGGAGTGTGGTGTGTTTAGTAATCTTTTTATCAGTTTAATACCTTCCGCGTCTCCTATCAGTGGACGTGTACACGGCATTGATTTTTGTAACAGGGAGATGGAAGAAGAGGCTTGGTCGGTCCTCTTACTGCAATTTGGGGCACTGCGCGGTCAAGCTAATGTGACACCAGATAGGAGTGGTGTGTTTAGTACTATTTTTATCAGTTTAATACCTTCCGCGTCTCCTATCGGTGGTCCTGATACACACTGACACAGAGCAGAATAGGGAATGTTACCCCAACATCGGGTCACTTGGCAGATATGGATTGACACCTGTCCTCAGAGCCCCTGATACACACT